GAATCTGACTATTAAGACCAGACCAGATCAAATCCTTGATAAAAATTTGAAGCAATTGAGGAATAAGATGGTTCCATTAATCAAAGTACGTTGGTAAGGATTTTCACCACACGAAGCGACATGGGAAAGAGAGGAAGAATTACGACAAAATTATCCAGATTTTTTTTTAGCAGGTATGCCAAAATTTTGGGACAAAATTTTATTTAGGAGAGGAGAAATGTAATATTCTAAAATAATAATTGTATAAAAATGATAAAGTAATAAATAAATAAATATATATGTATAAAATAAAATAATAATAATGATAAAATAACATATATATACATATATATATATATACATATATATTAAAGTATTGAATAATTAAAATAATATAATAGTAATAATAAATAATATAAAATAATATATATATATATATATATATATATATATATATATATATTTGTATGTAAAACGGCGCTGTTAAAGTCTACGTAACATATATATGTATATAACTATATGTCTATATATATAAGTAGAAAAAAAAAGAGATTTGAAGCTTATCAAAACAATGGATCATTCTAGATATATAGGCAACGTGTAATAACGAGATCAGGTTGTTAAGATTTTTGTTAGATGCAATGATTACATTATTAAAGATTAGTTAGATTTAAACGAAACTTTAGTTAGTTTAGTTACAAACCAATTAGATGCAATCATTAAAACTAGTCAAAATAGTCAAATACAATGGCCTAATGAAATTTAAGATCATAAATAGTCAAATACAATGGCCTAATGTTACTTTATTTTCATCTGATACCACTTGTAAACATGTCCCTTGTCAGGAATTTCTGCTATAGGAGGCATATTAAAACTAGGTGCCCTCCGACTTTTACGGTCTCAATAATAATGGCCTAATTCGCCACACTCGTAACATCTATGCTGCAGATACCAACAGACACCATCATGAAATTTACCACAAAGGTCACACCTAACAGCACTGGATTCTCCTTTCTTAATTTCTCTAGTAATAACATTCATCTTAGAATTGAATTCCTTGGAATTTTTCTACATCAGTAATTCGTGTTCTACTTCAAAACACCTTGCCACCAACGCCTTGAAGTTAGATAGATAATCATCTGAAATTTGCTCAGCAATCATGCTATCCAAACCATTTCTAAATTTAATTGCTAAGCTCTCAGGGTCAGATAATGCTCCTTTGCTAATGACACTCCTTGTTATTTCAAAGAATTTGGCTAAATAATTTTCAACAGACATATTATCCTGAAACAGCTCATCCAACTCTCTAGTATCTTGCACAGATCCTCCACTACCCATATATTGAGTGCGAAAGGATGGTCGGGAGGAAGAGGATGAAGACATACCCTGCTTTATAGTTTTAAATTCTTGCATGATCTCGCACCACATCTCTTGTATCATTTGCTTAACTGAAGCTATTTCTATCTTAAAATCATCTACTTTAGCTGCTACCTGTTCCAAGGATCTACGTCCCACTTTCATCTGATTTTTGAAATTCATTTTATCACTGCACACGTTAAAACAAAAGAGTGAGTTGATCAGACTCAAACTTTAATAATAACATAAGTACATCAAGATAAAATGACAATTCACAAATACAGACAAACTTAAAGGTAATACATAACAAAATATCATAATTTTTTTCTAGACTTTTCTAAATTTTTCATAAATCTTTTGCTCTGATACCATAAATGTATAGATGTTACAACGACCTTACTTGAACAGGATCTGTTCTATAGGCTCGTACCTCTGTATCCTTAGATTTATGCTCTGATACCATAAATGTATAGATGTTACAACGACCTTACTTGAACAGGATCTGTTCTATAGGCTCGTACCTCTGTATCCTTGAGTTCTAAGGAGACAGGAACGTAAGTCTGGTGGATGACTCAGGACCGTGTGATCTGAGCTTGATTAATGGCTGTGTGATTCCCACTTCAGGGGGAATCATCTTCGGCTGTAGAGGATCGTTCCCAGCTAGTGTTATCTGGTTGGGTGGATCACTCGGTTGTCTGACAGACTATAATTTTTCTTGTAACGTCCGACCGCTTCAAGAATCAATGACTATCCCCACATACTAACACGAGACTTTTCAGTGTGCTTTTTCCTCACTCGCACACACTTTCCGGGAAACCTTCCCAGGAGGTCACCCATCCCATAATTGCTCCAAGTCAAGCATGCTTAACTATGGAGTTCTTCCGTTTCGGGCTACCGAAAAGCAGATGCATCTTGTTAGCATAGGCAGTACCAATTAATTCTTATAAGCTATCCCAAATTGTGCAGCCTTACACCTGCACAGCCTTTGGAATCCCTCTCTTTCGGGTGTCGATTCGATTCATTCATGCATGTAACCCCCCGCTGGAAGCCTGTAGGGAGCCGCTCCTTGTCCGTGCCTCTTTGCACCGGCAATCACTCCCCGCCCTCGTCAGCGCTCGGGATGTTACATGCCCACCAGCTTCCGCCTGGTTCGTCCTCGAACCACACCGTACTGGATGAGAGGCCCTGCTCTGATACCACTTGTAACGCCCGGCCGCTTCAAGAATCAATGACTATCCCCACATACTAACACATGACTTTTCAGTGTGCTTTTTCTTCTCTCGCACACACTTCCCGGGAAAACTTCCCAAGAGGTCACCCATCTCATAATTGCTCCAAGTCAAGCATGCTTAACTATGGAGTTCTTCCGTTCCGGGCTACCGAAAAGCAGATGAATCTTGTTAGCATAGGTAGTACCAATTAATTCTTATAAGCTATCCCACACTTTGCAGCCTTATACCTGCACAGCCTTTGGAATCCCTCTCTTTCGGGTGTCGATTCGATTCATTCATGCATGTAACCCCTCGCTGGAAGCCTGCCAGGAGCCGCTCCTTGTCTGTGCCTCTTTGCACCGGCGATCACTCCCAGCCTTCGTCAGCGCCCGAGATGTTACATGCCCACCAGCTTCCGCCTGGTTCTTCCTCGAACCACACCGTACTGGATGAGAGGCTCGACTCTGATAGCACTTGTAACATCTGGCAGCTTGCAAGGATCAACGACTGTTCCCACTTACTAACACGAGACTTTTCAGCGTGCTTTGTCCTCACTCGCACACTTCTCGGGAAAACTTTCCAAGAGGTCACCCATCCCAGAATTGCCCCAAGTCAAGCACGCTTAACTATGGAGTTCTTCCGTTCCGGGCTACCGAAAAGTATATGCATCTTGTTAGTATAGGTAGTATCAGTTAATTCTTATAAGCTATTCCCAACTGTACCGTCTCATACCAGCACAGTCTCTGGAATCCCTCTCTTTCGGGTGTTGATTCAATTCATAAAATATCACATGTCTTTCTGACTAATGATTTAAGATCATTCTCATATATAATATAAGTAAATTCTTCAAATTCACAAAGTCAAATATAGAAAATAAAGTAAAGGAGTATAAAGAATTCATAAAATAATTTTGACAGAGTAACGACATATTCACAACTTTTAAAGAAATAATTTTAAAATACCAACTTTAAACGTAACATAGATAAAAACAAAACCAACATAGATTTCTAAATATCTAAAAATTAACTTTAAAAATAAATGAGAGAATGAGTTGTTTATTCCTGGTTTCTAGCCTATTAACACTAAGTTTATATACAGGCCATTGTATTTGACTATTTTGACTAGTTTAATGATTGCATCTAATTGGTTTGTAACTAAACTAACTAAAGTTTCATTTAAATCTAACTTATCTTTAATAATGTAATAATTGCATCTAACAAAAATCTTAACAACCTGATCTCTTTATTACACGTTGCCTGTATATCTAGAATGATCCATTCTTTTGATAAGCTTCAATTTTTTTTTTCTACTTACATATATAGACATATAGTTAGATACATACATACATATATATATATATATATATATATATATATATATATATATATATATATATATATATATATATATATATTACGTAGACTTTAACAGCGCCGCTTTACATACAAATATATATATATATATATATATATATATTATTTTTTTTTATTTATTATTACTATTATATTATTTTAATTATTCAATACTTTAATATATATATATATATATATATATGTTATTTTATCATTATTATTATTTTATTATTATATATATATATTTATTTATTACTTTATCATTCTTATACAATTATTATTTTAGAATATTACAATATACATAATATATATGATTTATTAATTTTAGTAAATTTATAATAATTTAAAATTTTAAAAATATTACATTTTTTAACCTATTTCTCTGTAGACTTTCAAGTAAGACTATATTTTATGTTTTCACAACTAAGTTAAGTCAACCCTGAAAAATATTTAATAAGTAACAGCTTAAACTTATGTTAAAGTTTCAAAAATATAACTAGAGACTTATTTAAGAAAAGCTTAGTTTATTTTAACCATTGTGCCTAAATAAAAATTATACGACCTCTATCTTCAATTAGGAAGGAATATCAAATCATATACTTTGAAATGTCTGTAATAGTAAAATAGATCGAGCGACATGTTTTACATTATCCAGCGATTCAAAATTTCAAAAATCAAAGGATTTTTGTTTTAAAATGAAATTTAAGGATGACAAAATTATCTAATTTTAAAATAAAGTTTAATATTTTTCCTGCAAGAGAGAGATAAAATTATTTCTGATACACATTGAATGAATCAATATCTCTCTCTTATACTGGTATATGCCAAGTACATAACTCTATATCTATATTATAGAAAAAACATTAAACCCTTTACATTAACAAAAACATATAATAGAAATAAATCATTTGAATTTTTCATGTGACAAAGTTAAGAGATAAATATAATGATATTAACTAAGTAGGACAGTCAAAACTTGTTAAACTCAATTTAATTAATACTTTGTGTTAATTTATTTTCTTATGTAATAAGATAATGTAAAAAACTAAAGTTAAATAATTTATTCTCATATTAACTGAGTAGCGGTTTTAGAAGGAAAAGAGCCAAGCCAAGCGAAGCGAAGCTTACAAGGCTTCGGTTTCTCTCTCTAGTTTGCCTTCGCAAATCGAACCCACTCTCTAGGGTTGGGTTTTGCATAAATTGAGGTGAGAATGGATTGGAATTCACATGGGAACCTGCATGAGCAGATTTCTCAGCTTATGCAATGCAAGCCCTTGTCCGAGCCAGAGGTACTGTCTGTTACTCTTCGTTCTCCATACCTTATTATCAGCCATCACGTTTTGCACTAAACTAGATCTAATCCATTATTTTCCTCTGATGAATAGGGATGGTTCTCTTTCCTTCAATAATTTAACACTGATTTCGCATTTGCACTTATCCAGGTAAGGGTCTTGTGTGACAAGGAAAAGGAGATTTTGATGGAAGAGAGCAATGTCCAGGTGTGTTTACTTTCTCTGATCTTTATTCTTTTTTTTGTTTTTCTTAGTTTTTATTCTGCATTGGTTTGGGCTCTCAGCTGCATTGTCTGAATTATGCACATTTTTTCATTAATCTGTGAGCACCTTCAGTTAGGGAACTATAAATAGCTTGCTGGCTAGTGGGCTGTGCTGGGCATTCTATTTTTATGATGGTTTTGACTTTTGTTTTATAATTGCATTCTCGTGTCTTGTAGGGATTTAGCTTCTGATGATTTTGAATGGCTGAAAAAGCTAAAATGGTTATTTGATTTTCCCAATAATTGCAGCCCGTGAAAAGTCCTGTTACAATTTGTGGTGATATTCACGGACAATTTTATGATCTTGCAGAGCTTTTTCGCATTGGAGGGAAGGTATGTATCAACTAAATAATGCTTGGAAAATCAGGAAATCACATTCACCTCCCTTGAGGTGTGGTAAAATTACTTTGACTTATCTTTTCATTTCACAGTAGAAGGGCCTTCATCTTTTCCCCTTATAAATTTTCAAGACACTGTAATCCTTCCAAATACTAGCCATTGAGTTCAATATTGGAAAGTTGATATAATCAATGAACAAAATAATTTCTTTCCAAGTTACCCGCAAAATATAAGAGTCAACTGTTCCTTCATGGTAATCAACAATAACATGCAGAAATCAAATGAATATTTTGTACAAGTTGATAATAGTTTTTTTTTTTTGAAATTTGTGATGCATATATAATAAAATATATTGTAATACGTTTATTTATATAGTAACACTTTTGTCACTGATTAAGTCATTATGCAGCTTTTGGTTGCCCTTAAAGTGCGTTATCCTCTGCGTATTACTATTCTAAGAGGAAATCATGAAAGCCGTCAGGTTTGTTCTTTTGTGTTTGGTTGTTTGACCTTTCTGACTGTGAACTAAAGATAAGATTAAAACCCCACTTTGATCCTCCACAGACAATTTGAGCATCAATAGAGTCTTCGAATTTTTTTTTCTTATCAATTTTCTGCCTGAAAGTTCCTTTGCCTCCAATTGATGCCTTCCACACATATCCAGATGAATCAAACAGTATGCTGAAGGACTCAATTGGAGGAAATATGAAAATTCAGGTAGTAAACTGATAGAAGAAATCTATCAAGGCTCAATTGAAACCAACTCTATTGGAGGATCAAAATAGTGTTTGTCTTAAAGATGATACTGTTGATAAATTAATTGTTGTGTCAGATTATTGTTACTTTTAATCCACTGGTTATAAACTATCGTACTTGTATCTTTACAGCTATCGGATCTGTTTTGTTTTTTCATATTGTGTTAGCTTTTAATGGCAATGGTTGATCTTACCTTTTTTTTTTTTTTTCTGCAGATTACCCAAGTTTATGGGTTTTATGATGAGTGCCTACGGAAGTAAGTACCTAAATGAATAATATCTTGGATGTATTAGTTTCAGATAACTTTGATATATGATGTTCATTGTCTTCAGTTCGACATTTTTGCAATACTTTTTATTGCTTGTCCTTTATTCTTTTATTTTTTCCAGTATTCTCTTGGTATCTGTATCTTTATGTCTATTCTTTGCATTGTGTTGCACATTTTGGATTTACTCCAATGTTTTTTAATTTTAGTGATGCAAAAAGAAACCTTTGGTTAGTTCTTTTATTTTTATAGAGGCATATTTGACAGAGTTTAAATTTGATGCACTATCAGTGTAAAACCTTTTACTCTTTCGGAAAACATGAAAGTGCTACATAATTGTAGCCACTAAGGTTTTTAACTTGCAATGAAAGTATATAGCAATTTTTCATCTGGCGGCACTATATGGTTCTCACTTGTAGTGTAAAACACTTTGTACTCTGCATCAGAATTGAATACTTAAGACAAGTGCAATTCTTTTTCATTGGTGAACTATTTGATTATCTTGTCTGTCTTTGTCACTATTTGATATTTGCTTTTTTTTCCTTCAATATTTTTTGTTTTCTTTTAACAGTTTTCTATTTGAAGTTTTCCAAACCTGTATATATTGTTAATATTTTTCTTATCAAATTTACAGGTATGGTAACGCTAATGTTTGGAAGATCTTTACTGATTTGTTTGATTACTTCCCATTGACGGCATTGGTTAGTATACTTCTACACTGGAAAGGAATTTTGGAGATTTTGCTCTTGTTTCTGATTGGAGTTATTATTATGCTTTAATTTTTGTTAGATTTTCATTGTTCTCCACTCCATAGTGTACGTTTTGATCTTAAAACAATTTAGTAGGCCTGGTACAGAGCTGTATCTCCCTCATGCCCCTCTCAAAATAACATGCTCCTGAGTCCCAATGCAAACTCTTATCATTTGCTCTATATTTGTTCATGATTACTTCCCAAGAACTTAAATATATTATTTTGGCTGCTTAAAAATGTTTTCTGTCTCGCTTAAGTATTATTTTCAATGCAGTTTGAGCCAGCTCCCAGGAGGGGAGAACCAGATGTAACCAGGAGAACACCTGATTACTTCCTATGATACAATGTTGGTTGAGTTGCTCTGTTGCTGTCACCAACTACTGCCCTTCAAGCTCATCTACTTGTCAAAATCAGAGCCATGCTTCTAATTGATCCTTGCGTTTTCGATGTTAGGCTTCTTGAATGTGTTATTTACTTGAACTATATTTGTACCTTTCCAAGAGAAGCAGAGGAGCAGGCGATGCTATTATGGTGGTCATATGTACCATTCCAGCATGAGATGTATCATTTTCAATGTGTTTCCAGTTTTCCCCTTTTCTATATTCTTTTAGTTCTTTAGGCCTCCCCCCTCCCTTCTTTTCAATTTAGAAGCATTATTGATCAAGGTATGGGTTTCTGTAGATGGACGAGATGCCTTAAAATACCCTCTAATGGGCGCTTTATAAATTTTTTCCCCGTCGTTTGGTGAGAACATTTTCTAATGGGCAGTTTGTCTTGCTTTTGCTTAAATGTGAAAATGGTAATGTTTTAACACTATTTTTTTAATCAATTGACATGTGTAATCACTGATCCCTTTGTCTTAATTTGTTAATTGTTAATTAATGACTTTTATTGTGAAGATTGAAGCGACATAATGGTTTGCGGCTGAATTGGGAATAATAATGAACTATTTGAAACTCCATTTTTTTTAAAATTTTATTGAATTAGTATTATTAAGAAAATACTATAAAAGTTAAAAGTGAATCATCGAGTTTATTTCCATTTATTTTTTCCTTAATGTAAATTCTTTCTCCCAGTGGAGTTCTGGTGCATTTTTGGTCCATTTTTTTGTTATGTTCGTAACACTTTGAAGTTTGATACGTCAATAAATACCTTTCGAAGTGTTCTAGCTCTTGTCAAGATAATGAATCACAGAAAATCTATCACTATGCTCATGCTGAAATTTAAGATTAGTGAATTTATGACTTGTCTATGTAGTAAAGGATGATGGCTTCTGGATTTGACCGTATACTTGCATCAATTACAGCACAAGCTAGGAATAAATTGGCACGATTAGGCCTTGGTCTTACTTTCCTTTACCAAATTTCATAAATATGAGTCATCTTACTAACCTGTACTTGCATATTTCTTCATGAATAATGCTTGATATTAAAAGTCACACGAATGAAAAACTACAACGCGATTTACTTGCGTTTTATTGGTCCTTGGTACGTGAATGTCATGCAGGTTAGTATTGTGACAAATAGCACTGCCCCTTTTCTTCAAATGATTATATGATACTCCTATCTCCAAACTCTTATACCTTTGTTATTTCCTCTCTTTTTTTTATATACATGAACGGGCCGAAGCCCAAAAAGGAAAACTACACTCCAAAGGAACCAGGGAGGGGCATGGTATTAGCATGCAGAAGCCTTCTCTATAATTAACAGATTCTTTGGAAGAGGCTTATCATCTGTACAAGGAAACCAAGTACTATTTCTTTAGGTCTGTGAGCTAATTCCTCTCATTTGCGATAAAAACTATGTTTTGGGCTACTAATTAACTTGCTAGATAAGCCTTATTAATTTTGGGATTTGAGAGAGATTTAGTGTAAGCCAGAGGCAACGTCAGAAATTTCTTAGTTCGACCTACATAGGCTCGTTTTGTCAAATTGTCGTAATCGTTGTCCTCAATTGCATCCAAGATCTTACGATACAATATTAACGAGGACCAAACCTGCAAATCACACACAAAGCAAACTATTAACCTCTGCAAATGACATGCGACATATGCCTACCATACCAATCTTAACCTTCGCAATTTGTTTAATGTTCATAGTTCTCGTGGCTTATGTGAATTCGAAAATGTACGTACCGGCCAACGGCTTGCCTTTTCAAGCTGAGAAACTCCTTCTTCTGCCAAGTTGAAGTAGAATCTTGCCCTTGTAATCTGCTGTTTCATAAACTCCCTCCATCTATCACTGACCTTTCTTGAGAAAACATCCTCGTCGCATAAACCAAACTGGGCAAGTTCATCTTGAGGAATGTACACTCTGCCTCTTAATGCACTAGAATATAAGTTGATGTATATAATCAGATTCAGCAGATGAGGAGCAATTAATTAATTGAAGTAAATGAATTAGAAATTTAATAACTTACTCCTCCCCCACATCTCTAAGAATGTTTGTGAGTTGATTTCCAATACCCAGATACAGTGCTGCATTATATACACTTTGAGCAGGGATGTGTGACTCAGGGGCGATACCCATTATTGGAACACTCATTAACCCAACAGTTCCCGCCACATAGTAGCAGTAAAGATATAACTCTTGGAAATTTCTGTATCGGGTTTTCCTTGTATCCATTCTCATTCCTTCTATCATGTCCCTGAAAGGCTGTATGTAATCAAAGAGATCACTTCTCCTTAACTTATAGTATTATATATTACTGACAAATCACATACTTAGTTTAGTGTGATATATATATATATATATATATATATATATATATATATATGAGATATGATCCGTTTACAAACTTTTTTTGCAATTACACTAACGTAGGACCGGTCGTACACTGTATGATTAATGTAAGACCGGTCGTACGTAGTGTAGTTTGTAAGAGTTTGTAAACAAAAAAGTTTGTAAAATTAACCTGCCCTTATATATATATATATGTATGTATGTATATATATATATATGTGATTCTGACAAAATATAGTTAAATAGTTTTAATAATGACCTTAATATCCAAGGGAAACTTGGAGACTGTATCAGTAAGAGCAGCATCAAGCATATCATAGGGGCGTCCATTGAAAATGTCATGCAATCTATCTTCCCATCTATCAAGAACACCAGAGTTCATGTACACAGCGTTAGGGCCATCAACCAATTCATCCGTCCTCCTGCACCAAACTGCATATATAGAAGAAGCCTTTTAATTCAGATTTCCACTTGTGGTTTTGTCTCTTATCTTCTTATGTAATTTCTTACCATAAATTGCCCATATAGCTTTCTGTCTTTCTTCCGTCATAAGCAAAGTTCCTGTTTAAAGCATGTTGAAAGTTGATCATCTTAACTGCATTTTGGGGATATCTAATTAAGTTAAACAGATAATAAGGGGAAAAAAAGAAGAAAAGTAGATTTGTAATTGTACCTAGATAGAAGGTCTTGGCATATTCGGCACAGATCTTTCTGCACATTTCATTGGCATCGTTGAGAAAATTGGGGTCGAACTGTGGCATACTAGTACTACTAGTAGGGTAATGAGCTCTGTGAAACTGCCTCTGAACAACCTCTTGCACACGTAAATCGGCAAGTGGAACTCCTTGTTTTGACAACTGTGGAAACATGCTCTCTGTTCTTTGTTTGGGAGCAATGGTTACCTCCGACCTTATTGTACAACATTGTTTCCTATTTCTCCCAATGATGGAAGGCTTTGCTGCCACCGAAAATGATAAAATCATCTGATTATTTTCTATTCTCAAGGTCTAACAGATAAGAGGAATTAGCAGCTACTAGCTTATAAGTACATTTGCCAAGTGAACGTGGAGGAAGCTGTCAACTATATAATTATTTTGCACTCTAGCTATGGTTATATATATATATATATATATATATAGTAGGGTGTAACGACCAACCATTCCAATTAATGCTTATTCTTTCATATCATATATTGGGGTGATATAAGATATTCTTACTCACGATAAATTTGATGCGACAAGTTGCATTTGATATCACGTCAGACGCCAAAATTTGATTAAGATTCTAGGCAATGTCAAGAACGAAAAGGAAATGGCTAATTAGCGACTACTTAATCTTATAAGTTAATACTTGTGCATCCTAATACATAATTTTCTATTGCCTTTGATACTCGTTTCCTAGTGGGGTGGTTATTAAATTAATATATGGTTGATTATGCGATAGGCAAAGTTCTGGAATTTTTATAACAGAAAGAAGACATTACATCGCCTAGTTTGGTTTGAATAAGAACGGTGTTTACAAAGATGCTACTTTTGTCTTGTAAAAGGCCGCCTAAACTTTCTTCGGAATGTGTCTTCTAGTTTAGTTCCTTGTAAAGAATCTTAGCCACCTGTGATGCCTTTTCGAACTCATATAGTTCCTTGCCTTATCCTTTATTAGCTTGTCTTTTACTTTTTGTTTTTGTTTTTGGTTACAGGTTGTCTTTTACTTTTTAATGCAGCCCTGCACCTCAATGTTAACCACCCATGTGGCATGTCAATTATTATGTGTATGGTTTAAAAAATTTCTTTACATGATAGTTTTTATATTTTTTTTTTAATTTTTTTTATTTATATTTTATAACCACTTCTCTTTTCTAATTTTTTTAATTTTTTTTCAAAAACAAAAATTAAAGTATATTAATTTTTAATGATTTTTTTTTATAAAAATTACATACTTTACAATAAAATATATGCATTAGTAAAATTTCCTAAAAATACTATCCTTTTATGTATTTATGGTTTATTTTTTTAAATTTTAATCTTGCAAATTCGAACTATAAGAATGTATGAGTACATTTTAATAAAGCAACTTTGTTGGTAAAGTAGAGAGACCATGCAATGAGAGTTACAATTTCAAATCTTGAATACACTCTATTTTATATATATATATTAATAGGGTTCGTTTTAATTTTTATTTTTTGAAATATTTTGTCTATAAAGTTTTATATGATTTAATTAAATAGACTATTCAATTTACCGATAAGATGACTAATTGATTATAATTGTGCATATATGTACAATATTTTTTTTTGGAAATACTATATATGTACAATATATATTAATAGTGTTCATTTTTTCTGCAGTGAAAGGAGATACATTATATACATTGAGTCCAAAATGATATTATTTTGAGGTGAAAATCAAGAAATTTTTATAATTATAATTTATTTCAAGGTTATAATAGTCTTTATTATTATAATTTTTTAATCTTTCAAAATCAAAACAATATCATTTTAGGAGTGAATGTATTTACTATAGAAATATTATTATAGCCATATTAATATTGGTTTATGTATTGGATCCGTAACTCAGCTCACCTATCAGCGCGACACAACTATAAATTTCAAATTTTAGGTTCTCATCACTTTATTTAATACATTGGTGTAGTTTTCATACATATATTTTTTCCCACATCTCATTCATCTTGTGACTTGAGTATTTAATATCAGGATAAAATACTTTACGAATATATAAACAACCAAGCTTATGATAGAATATCTCAAATAATGCAAATACAGCGTGATCCTACATGCATTGTAGCATAGGTTGAAAATTTTGGGATATTCTTCCAGGTATTTTACGATGATACCAATCGGCTAGATATTTTGCACAATTATTTTGTGTTGAGATATATAGTCCCACATTGGTTGTATGTGCAACTAATGTGGCCTTTATAAGGCCTTGGGCACTCCCACCCTTTGAGCTAGCTTTTGGGGTGGTGTATCCCAAGGTTCTTTACATGGTATCAGTTTCTTCAAGAATATTCAGAGCATATTTCCTCTGAGATATCACAACACCAGCTTTAGATTGAGCCACCTCGATTCCTAAGAAGTATCAAAGTTTCCCAAGATCCTTAGTCTGAAAATGATGACATAAGTGTTGTTTCAATCGAGTGATCCCATGCTGGTCACTGCCTGTGATGACAATATCATCCACATATACCACCAGATAAATAGATCCAGAAGCAGAATGACGATAAAAGAGAGAATGATCAGCTGAGGCCATAGAGAGACTTACGAAGACGACAAACAAGACCTGACTCCCCCTGAGCAACAAATCCAGGAGGTTGCTCCATATAAATTTCTTCCTCAAGATCACCATGAAGAAAAGCATTCTTGATATCCAGTTGGGAGAGAGGCCAATGGGTAATAGCAGCCATGGCAATAAAAAGGCGAACAGTAGACATTTTCGCCACAGGAGAAAAAATATCAATAAAATCCAAGCCAAAGACCTGAGTGAAACCCTTCGCCACCAAGTGAGCTTTAAGACGATCCACTTGACCATCAGGTCCAACCTTAACAGCATAAATCCATCTGCAACCAACCACAGATTTTCCAGAAGGAAGAGGCACCAGGTCCCATGTGCCATTATGATGAAGAGCACTCATTTCATCAATCATAGCTTGTCTCCATCCTGAATATGAAAGTGCATCACCTGTGGTCTTAGGAACAGATACAGAGGACAAAGAGGAAATGCAAGCAAAATATGATGGAGAAAGACGATGATAACTAATATTGACTGTATACCTGGCCGGAGGGCGAGTATCACGAGTACCCTTACGAAGAGCAATGTGAAGGTCACTATCCGAAGGTGGGACCGAAGCCGGGGGAGGAGTTGCAGTTGAATGTGAGTCCACAGATACATCTGACGAACTATGCTCGATCTCATCAGCAGAAGAGGTGATAGAAGGAGAGTCAGAAACATGGACAGGTAAAGACGGAAGGTAAAGAAGGCCACCTGGGAAGGACGACTGTACAGAATCAGTATCCACAGTAGTAGTAGAGGATCCAAAAAAGGGAACTGATTCAAAAAAAATACATCCGCCGAGATAAAGTATCGACATAAAGTGGGAGAGTAGCAACGGTAACCCTTCTGAGACCGAGGATAACCCAGAAAAACACATTTATGAGACTTGGGAGCTAATTTATCCAAACCTGGACCAAGATGATGAACAAAACACGTAGAACCAAACACATGTGGAGTTAAAGGATATAAAGCTTGAGGGGGAGAGTTAGAAATATTTTGTAATTAGGGTTTCCTTATTTTGTATTAGGTCAGATTACATTAGGTTTGAGCTTAGCCCATTAGTCTGTTTATATATTGTACAGCCTTCATCAGTCAATACACACAGTATTATTTCTTTTTTTTTTTACCTCAAGGTTCTTAACATGGTATCAGAGCCTCGCTGTAAGAACCCGTACCGTTAATTAAGGAAATTAAGTAATTAATTATGTTAAATTAGGAAATGATTCCATAATTGACCCTAATAATTATTAAGAGGCTTTAATAATTATGATAAGTGATTAAGTATGTTGAAAGTCTCTTTTCGGAAGAAAAGTGCAAATACCGGTTCTTAGGGCTTGTTTGGTGGACATGATATATTAGGGCTTGTATTAGGTCAGATTACATTAGGTTTGGGCTTAGCCCATTAGTCTGTTTATATATTGTACAGCCTTCATCAGTCAATACACACAATATTATTTCTTTTTCTTTTTACCTCAAGGTTCTTAACATGGTATCAGAGCCTCGCTGTAAGAACCCGCACCGTTAATTAAGGAAATTAAGTAAATAATTATGTTAAATTAGGAAATGATTCTATAATTGACCCTAATAATTATTAAGAGGCTTTAATAATTATGACATGGTATTATTATTAAAAAGTGGTTGTTTGAATCTTAGGGCTTGTTTGGTGGACATGATATGATAAGGGTAGGATATGATATGAGGTTGATAAGCCTATATCATGTCCTGTGTTTGATGAGCACCTGATTAACAATCTGATAAGATTATGTAGAAGGAGAAAGGAGAGACAAAAAACAAAATATAATGCAATAAATATAAATATATTGGGTAGCGTGGGGATATATTGGGTATCCAATATTGGTATCCTATCCTATTGAATCATAGCCCAACTCCCCCCATAAGATAAGAAATCATGTATTAGATAGGATAAAATGAGACAATAGGATAAACTAATCATATCCTATTGATCCACCAAACAAGAGATAAATGTAAGATATGATAAGTTATCCTATCTTATCTTCTTTATCAAGTACTCCAAACAGGCCCTTAAGGTTAAAAGTTCGACTCTTGGAGAAACACTTTTGAACCTTTAACCTTGACCACAATCGGATTAATATATCTAAAATAAGAATAAAAATTACCACCATGATTAATTTTAAATTAATATCATTCAAACAAATCAAATCTTAAAAAGTAAGATTATCAATTTACTTTCGAAATTATTTCAAGTGATTTTTTATATCCAACAACAAATAAATATTATTTGGACATTTTTTTTAAAAGTACTCAATAAACTTAAAAAATGCTACAGGTCCATGTCACATGACCTTAAAATATTCCTTTTTCTCCTCCAAAACTAACTTTTATCAACCCCAAGGGTAGCTCAGTTGGCAGCTGAGCTCCCAAGGGATTGCTTGGTGCAGGGATCAAACCCTGCCTCAAGCAGTTTCTTGGAAAATCTTTGAGGGCCAGAGGATAAGCCAAAAAATCTTCGGTTGGGGGATTAGTCTCGTCCTTTCTCCGGTTGCGAAGCTTAGTGCACCCACTGTTACAATGAGGGGCTAGCCCAAACGGGCCGTACCCCGAGGGCATGGTGCCCGGAGAAGGTTGAATGGGGATACCTCCAGGCAATGTACCAAAAAAAAAAAAAAAAAACTTTTATCATAAACTTCTTCTTTGTTTTATTATTATATTTTAAT